ATAGACCCAAAGGGAGTCCGATGCAAGTCAAACCCCGGGACTCCAGTACGTTCAAACTCAAACAGGTTGCAGGTTGTCACGAGCTTAAATTGCGTAGGCTGCTTGGTAGACTCAGGGAAGCTTTGTTGCACCTGGAAAAAGGTGCTCAGGTCCCACTTGTTCTCAACCGGCGTATCTGGTCCCACCCCCTTGTCCGTTTTAGGTCCTTTCACACTATTCAGGAGATTGACGAGTGGGCTGAACAGGAGCTGCTGCGAACCGTGCGTAATGTGCAAACCGAGCAATTGCAACAATGGCGCCAGGCGATGCGCACTCAGCCCAAGGTCGCAAGCAAGTGGACCAAAAAGGATGCTTCACTCCCTGTAACATCCGTGTATGATGAATCATTTCAAGAGGGCGCTGCTAGCCAGTCCACCCAGGAGTCCCTTCGGGCCATGGGTGCTTTCTGGGCTCGGATCTGGGACAGAGACAAGCCAGACCCGGATGATGCTTTCCAATTTTGGCAACAGGATGTGCAACCTGCTGTCGGTCTCCCTTGGACCGACCTGACCGCAAATGAATTACACCGGCAAGCTTCAAGGCAGCGGGGTTCTGCCGGAGGGTGTGATGGCTTTCATGGCGACGAGATCGCTGACTTGCCCCTGCAAGCTTGGAACATTGTGGCCACCCTGCTGACTCGGTGGCAAGCAAGGGGAGAAGTCCCCCGGAGCTGGCAGAGGACGCCAAACTTCGTGCCCAAGATGGTGCCATTGCTGCCAAAGACATGCGCCCTATCTCTATCCAGAGTGTCATCTGGAGAACTGTTGCTAGCGCATGGACGCAGAGGCCGTCCACGAGGGCTTGGATCCAGACATGGGTCCATGACACGGCATATGGCGGCATTCGGGGCCGCAGCGTGTCGCAGGCCGTCGACAAACTTTTTCAAGATTTTGAAGTAGGGGCAAAAATTTTGGTTTCTCTTGATTTCCAAAAATGTTTTGATTGTCTGGACCCAAATTTTGGTTTAAGAGCTTTGGCACATTTCGGATGTCCACGAGAAATATTGACCATGGCACAAATGGTGTGGAGGCAGAAGCGGTGGCTTGCTTATAACGGCGAATTTCTGCCACAGGCTGTTGATGTCAATTCCTCCTTGCCACAAGGCGATGCACTGAGCCGTCTCACATTAATTGCTGTCATTTCTGGTCTCACCACTAAGGTTTTGCGTCAGGCACCCGTCAGGCATACTTTGACCACCTATATTGATGACCGTAATTTCATTGTGAGCTCCCCGGCCCATGCTGTGCAACTGTGGCAGCTGTGGCGCAACGTGTCCAGTGGGGTTGGGCTGTGGGAAAATGATGCTAAACTTAAGGTAGTGGCTCGCAAGGCCAGCCTCCGGCCTCAGCTCTTAAATGCAGGGTTTCATGAAAGCAACTTGGTTGATTCAACCCGCGTTCTTGGGGTAGATTTCACTGCGCGCCTGCGCGCAAAGGACCGGAAAACACAGGACAGTCGCATTGCAATGGCCAAACACCGTATTGCCCGTATTTCTTTGCTGCCAGTGTCCGTCCAAAGGAAAGCATCCTTCATCGCCAGCCTTGCTATTCCTAAGGCTGTCTGGGGAGCTTGGATTGCCATTCACCCGCTGGCTCAGTTGCTGACACCGGTAAAACATGCTGCGGGAGGACTCCACAGATGCGCTTCGAACCAGCTCTTCTATGTGTTGCCAGGTCATGGGCTTGAAGCCAAATTTTGTGCAGGCATGCAAGCTTTTTCTTATTTGGCAGCTGTGGTCAGAAGTGATCCTCGACCATGGCCGCCCCGGGCCCGGCAGGGAACATGGTTGAGTACCGTGAAAGGATTTCTCAGGGATCTGAACTGGCAGATTACCAGTGCTTGGAAGTGGACACATCCTGATTTGCATTTTAGCATAGACTTGAGTAGACAGGTGTCAGAGGTCACCCTGCTTCAGGAACAGCATGCTGCACGCGAAAGCTGGAGAAGGGTTCAATTTAGGAGTTTCTTGGCTAGCGGTCGCAGGGATGCTGCGGCTGTTGGCAATGTTGATTATTCTGAGGAGCGCATGACTGCGGCCCGTCACATTTTCAGATCACAGAATGCTCACGGCCGCGGTGCAATGGTAGGTGCCATTGTTTCTGATGCGCGATTTGATAGGATTCGGGGATTAGAGATCCAAAACTGCGTTTGGTGTAGTGCTGATGTTTGCCCGACATGGGAGCACTTGGCCTGGTTTTGTCCGGGGTTTAGCTCTACGAGATGTCAAGTGCCTTCTGATTCTCTGCAATATGTCTTGGGGTGGCCGGTCGGCCCGGATAGAGGTTATGATAGTGATGTGCTCACTCACTTGTCTGATGTCAGATCCAAGCTGCTCGAGCGGCGTTACAGATCTCCAAGGGTCGCCTAAGGCGTTTCTCGGTGGCAGTGTCCTTTGGGCCTGTTGCCTGTGAAACTTTCTACAACTCATGCGGCCCAAGGCACCCACAGTGGGATGCAAGCCCGGAGACAGAGGCAAAATCATGCGGCCCAGGGATGCAACCCTTTTAAAGGAGTAAGAACCCCATACAGGTAAACCTGCTTGGGGAAAAAATGAAAAACACATGAAACAATGACAAAACATGAAAAACTGAAAAAAATAAAAAATGAAAACGCCTGAAAAAATGAAAGAAATGAAGGAGAAATAAACAAATCAAGAAACACAAGAAACAACAGAAAACAAAATGAACGAGAAAACATGTCGAAATGTGAACCTCTATAGGTGATTTCTGGGAACCATATTCTACAAAATGACTTGCATAGCGGAGATAGAGTAGAAACCCTAGGGGAAAAAACAAACTATGGCCAGCAATCCAGACCATTGACGTGTCATACCACCATTTGAATTTGAATGGAAACAAAACCGTCAGGGAGTAAACAATGGTTCCAAAAAACAATAACATGTTTTTCTGTTGTTTCTTTTTTTCTCTTGGGTTTCGCGCCAGTGGGATAACCTGCAGTTGTTTTTTTAATTGGGAAAATGTTTCTTGAGATCACTTTTTTTTTTAATATATGTCTTCTCTTTTTTGACGAAAAAATGTGAAAAAAAGAAAAATGATGAAAAACAATGATTTTTTTCAAAAAAACACATACGTGCTGCAAGGGTGTTCCTGGTGCTGGAAAAATCTACGATTATTTGCGCTTCGGTGGCATTTTGGATCCCAGAGTCTTGTGTGATCAGCTGTTGCGCGCCATGTCGTCTTGAGCCAATGGTCCTGTGTCCCGTGCGGCCAAGCGTCATCGAGGGGTCAACCCAATGATGGCAGGAATGAATCCTTTCCTTGCGTCCATGTTTGGTTCGGCCTTTGCATTGCTTGTCCCTACCCGTGCTGAAATTGTTTTGATGGATCGATGAGGTACCTTGCTTCACTTGACCAACAACGACATGGGTTCCTGATGTGCCTTTTTTTTGTCAGTTGTTGTCAGACGTTTGGCACCGCGTGGCCAGCTTTGTCAAAACAAAATCAGTGTTGATAGGCTTTAGCCTGAACATATTAAATAGAATGAAGTAAAATTGTTTGAATTCAATCTATCTATCTATATATATATATGTGTATATTTATTTCCTTTTCTTACCTTTTTTTTATATCTTCTCATTTCTTTTTAGATTTATTATTATTATTTCGTTGTTTCTTGCGAAAACAATGTTGTTGCTAATGATTTTCAATGTTTTGCTTGATTGTTGGACCATCCAAACCATGTTGTAGCTAACTCATTGCAACCTCTTGCTGATTTTTGTTGGATTTCTACGGATATGATATATATATATATATATGGATTTGAAATTGTTTCTATGGATATATAGGGATATAGGGATTTAAAGTTGTTTATTGGGATTTACATGGATATTACATAGATTTAAGGTTGTTTATAGGGATTTATAGGGATATTATAGGCATTTATAGGCCCTAAAGTGGTTTATTGGTATTTATAAGGGGGTTACATGGTTTTTAAGTGGTTTATAGGGATTTTTAGGGATATTATAGTGATTTAAAGTGGTTTTTTGGGATTTATAAGGATATTACATGGATTTAAAGAGCGTTGTAGATTTAAGTGGTATATCGGGGTTTATAGGGATATAAGGATTTTAAGTGGTTTATAGGGCTTTATAGGGGACATTATAGGGATTTTTAGGAATGTATTGGGATAATACTTGGGATACAATGGGAATGCACCCTCTGGTGCTCAAACATGGCATTTGAAATCACCCACTGATATATAACTATTGAATTTCACCAGCTTAAAACGACCATTTAGACGGGTTTCCTAGCCGGCTTTGTTTGATGACACCGGAGGTTTTTGCATTGAGATCAAGTAGTGAATAGTAGTGATCACCTGGCGGTTCGGGGAGTACCCACAGAATTCCAAACCATCCGGCCCCAAACCAACAGTGAGCCATTGACGGGGCTATTTACTAAGAAGCTTCTGCGAAAAGAGAAGTGCAGGGTATCCAAGATTGGCCCTCATGATATTTCAACAACAAGCTGGGAGAATGATGGAGGATTCACCCAAATCGGGATATGATCAACAAATTGGAGACATATTGGGCCCAAATCCAAACCCAGTAACACAGGTATGTTTCACCAATAGAGGTTGAGCGAGCCTATCAAGGCCGCTGTGCATAGCAGCTTCCAAATTTGAGTATGCTCTCCCGTTTGCCACGACGCATCAACATCAAAGTATTGAACCTCTCTAATCTCGCCCTATGTCACCCTGTCGATATACATTCTCTCTCTTTCTATGTATGGACTCTCTATCTATCTATTATCTATCTATCGATCGATCGAACTATCTATCTATCTGTTTGTTTGTCTGTCTGTCCGTCCGTCCATCCATCCATCCATTTATCCATCTAATCTAACCTAACCTAATCTAACCTAATCTAAATCTACTCTAATCTAATCTGTGCACAGGCATTTGAACCGAGCACCCCATCAGGCAGTTAGCCCGTGGCCACGGCTCAGGTTGATGAGCTGCGGCTTCAGGCACAGTTAAGTTTGAAAGTGGGTCGCCTTGGCTGCGGTGGTGGATAATCACTGGGCTGGTTGTGGTGGTGGTTGCGGAGGGGAAATTTTCCCTTGAAGGTGCTGGTGTTGGAACTTGGTGACCTAGCGACAGTGATTTCAACTTGGGAAGAGTGAAAGAAATGGTTGAAAGATGTTTCAAGTGTGTGAGTTTGGAATGCCACATGTTTTGCAAAAGGTTTCGCGAACACTTGTAGGAAGGACTTGAGCTGACCCATGGAAAGCATGGCGAAATGGGGGTTCTCCTTTGTAAACAATCCATTTTGGGGATCCCCCATTTTTGAAAACCTCCCATGTAGGTAAATCATTTTTACTCAAGCTATGTTACTGTAGATCACCGGAGGGAAATATTTTGTAGCCCACCTTTAGGTGCCGCATGGCTTGAACCATTCCTTCAGGAACTTTCCGTGGTCTCAGTATACTCCGCAGGATAGGTTGCTCCCCCGTAGTGGTAGAGGTGTAGGCTTAGGTACTGTCCCTATAGGAACAGCCCAGGTCTTGAGAGATTGGTCACTGAGTTGCTTGGCAGCTGCGGTGTTTCATCACGGGGATTCAATCAACCCCCTTCCCCCAATAATGTGTGGGTTCATCAAGGGCTTATGAATCACCAGCAACCACTAATAAGGACTTGTTTTACATGGTTTTACATATTGCAACTGAAGCAACGGTAAGCGGAAACTGAGATATAGCCCCTAACATGGACATGTGGTAATTTGGATCGTCGCAGCAAGCAAATACTTGTGGACATTTACCACAACTTGACCTAATTTTGGAGATAGACTTACCAACGTACGGTTCATATTGTTTTGCGGGTCTCAGGTTTTAAGGAAACTAACTACAAAATCACTAGCCCATCCAAACCTCTCACCCAACCCGCCATGCCATAATGCCCAGGTTTGCATCAACAAAGCCTTTCAATCAAATGATAGACATTTCAAAAATATCCACATCGGCCCCCAACAACACCCACACAGCCGCATCCCATTTGGGGTGCGTTGCTTTGCGTTTCCACATTATGTGGACATGTTTTCAATCAAGTGGATGATGTTATAGCAATGGCAAAGCTTATGATTGTGTTCTTTCCCCACCTGCCAGGTGAGGGTCTCTAGATTTTAACAAGGGTGCAACTCACTCACTCCTTCTCCTTGACCTCTGTCTTTCTCGCCAAATCACTCCTGTCTTCCTCCCAGCTCCGGATGCAGTGGGCCACGCCCAAACTGCATATCGCCAGCTCCGGATGCTGTGGCCACCGCCTGGACCCGGACACTTGCCAGAGAGAATGTCAGATAGAATGCCAAAAAGAATGTCAGATAGAATGTCAGAGTATGTCAGGGTATATGCTAGAAAGAATGCCAGTTAGAATGGCACAATATTTATATATATATATAATTTTGCGTAAAGAGTTGCTTTGTGGTCTTATCTGGGCTATATGTCAGAAACTATGGCAGAATAGTGTGCCGGGGGGGGGAACACTCAAAGTAAAATATGTTTACCGGCAGTAGCCATTCCAAACATGATCGAAGCACTTGGAACTGATCGAAGCTTTTTCTGGCTTTCCAGCAACATGTTCTCTCTATACAAGGTGGGCCTCCCCAGTTGTGTTTGTTGCATAACTACATTACTATACTTCAATACAGCTCCATTTCCAAAAAATAGTTAACCATTTTTTCTCAACCAACTAAGCCAATTCCTACCTGATTAAAAAAATCTCACAATCTTGGAATACCATAGGACTATTCCCATCCCCTGCCCATCCCGCCATGACACCTAGGTCCGGCGTTATCCTTGACGGCCGCGCACCCCTCAGCAGCTGCCGCCTGCCCTCCTCAGGGGCCACTTTGACGGCGCACGTGCGGCAGGCGCAGCTGCAGAGCTCCGCGCTGGCCTTCGCGCTGCTGCGCTCAGATGGCACGGTGGCCACATGGGGAAACCTGGCGATGCAGGGGATGAAGGTGGATGAGTCTAGTTGTTTTTTGAGAAGTAGCTGACTTAAATATTAGTTTGCTGTTTGCTAATGATTGATATTTATATATTGTTATACACATGTAAATATATTGCATATTCACAATTAAAACAGCAAACATATTTAATTAAATAAATAAATGAATAAATACACAAATAGAGATATATAATATTTGTCAGCGGGTGGCCAACACTTTTCAGAAGGCAGAGTTGGCCAGAACCAGTTGAAGCAAGCCGAAGGTCTATGATGAAAGCATGACAAGATGGCCTAGAATTTGGGACCAGAATCCATGCCATAGGACTTGCACCAAGAAGACAGCTGACACATATTTTTGGGATCTAGACATTCTGATAGTTTAATACATGTTAATTAGACTTACTTTCGTCACTGGCCATCATGTAGTGTCGTGGTGAACAAAGCATTGAGACCTGTCAAGATCCTTATCGTCACTAGCCAAAAGAATACTCGACCAGTTCCTTGGCCCCTAAGTCCAAGGTTGGTTTGTTGATCATAATTTTCCAGTAGAAAGGTCAATGCTTTAGGCCTCAAGCATTGCCAGACACAGCCAATAAACATATCGAGGTGGTGATATATCCCATCTCATTTTCAATGTCGTTTTCAGAGGGGACCAAACTGTGTTTTGAAAAGGCAATGCCATTGATGGTGGTGACAGCAGTTCTGTGCAAGATGAACTAAAGGATGTTCCTTGGTCGATCTGGGCGGTCTATTATGGGTTACCCCAAGTTGTCTTCATTTTTTTTGGATAAGGAGACCAACGGGAAACAGTAGGGGTACAGCACCCCAAGGTTTGGAAACACCTCTGTTACAATGTTGAGGCAGAGATAGTGCATGATAGCCATGTCTAGTTACTGGAGTACAACTGCAAATGACTGAAACACTTTGGCAGTGGTCGAAATATACATGATAGAAAAGCAACCAGAACGGTGATAACAACTGATAAGAACCGTTTAATAACCCATGTCGAAGAACGGGAATTGAACCACATAATCTTGATAAATCTGCCATGGCAAACTGATGGCTGATCAAACCCGATGCATGTTGGAGAAACCATTGGCGAAACCATTGGTTTTACAGCCTTGAATCACCTTTCTGATATATAATGGGTGGAACCCTAGATGTGTGATTGATTGAAGTTCGCGGATGAAGAACATGGCTTAGATTTACTTACTCTTCAGTTAATAAACATAGACCCTGCCAATACGGGCCAAACTGTTAATTTATAGCAGGAGGGTAAATGTAATTACGAACTGAAGCGATCATGATCCCTATCACCTCAAACAGCAGTGTTGTCCCCCACAGCACACCTTCTTGCAGGTGTAAAACCCACTTTGTTGAATCCCATCCTGTCAACAAGTATCTTACGATACATATCAACTTCTAACCAAATACTATCAGATTGTTTGAACTGTTAGAGGGGCATCTCTAAGTTTTTCTTTGGCACAACTTTCATATTGTTTAAGGATGTTCTTCGTTTTTTTCCCATGATTAGACGACATGCAATACTTCAAGCATGATTCAACAACCCATTTGCAACCCAAAAAGGCAACACTTACATGTATAAACCATGTGACCTACGTATAGGTATGCCCACCGTAAACCGAAGAGTTATCAACTGATACATTTAAAATCAACTTAGCCAACGGTGTAAACATGTATTAAAAGAAAAGATGCACTACTAGTATACAATATACTTACATAAGCTTACCAACATTTCATATCTCAATCTATGACTTATGTTTTAACATTTGTCCCTATGAACTACGTTTCAACTCATATTATACATATCTGATTTGGATATAAGTTCCTTCCATGTTTTACACTACGCACATCTATGTAAGTAACAAACAGGCCAGGCTCGCATTTGTACTACACATAAAAAAACACGCGCACACACACATGACATATATATGTATATATGTATATATGTATCGATTTTCAGGTTTCAATATTGTTGAGATCTCCAACAGAGCCATTAAAACTGGTTTTTCACTTGCCTAGTTTGAGTTGTTGGTTGTTCTAGGGAATTATGCTCACAACTATAACCTATATCATCGGATTGGTTTAAGGGAATATTTACAGACAACCCCTTTATATGATGGTGAAAACGATGGTTTCCGGTTAAGACGTTCTCTTAAACAACCCATCAAGTAGTCTATATAGTTAGTTATGACCCAAATGACAAGCTAGACCTAATAATATAACAACTATGACATACTTATATTTTTGGTTATTCATGGAAATTTCCTTTTAAAAAACAACTCCATTGACCATTCGGGAAAGCATGGTAAAATCCATAATAATTACAATTCAAACAATCTAAAGATAATTTATTTAGGAAACGAGAACTATTGAACACACATAATAATAGTCCAGGTGAACCAACTGCAGAGTTCCCTCCACGCCTTCGCAGCGCTGCGCTCGGATGGCTCGGTCATCACCTGGGGCCGCATCGGCGATGGCGGCAACTCGCAGGCCTTGCAGAACCAGTGCCTTGGAACACAGCGAAAACGGCCCAGCGCTGAGAAACTCTGAGAAAATCATGGTTTAGATGGACAAATCCAAGATATTTCTAGGAATTTCAAATATATTAATGTTATATTCATTGTATTTGGATCTATTTCCAAGGCCCCATCAGTACATTGAAAATTATATACATATTTGTAGTACATCTGGTAGTCAGAAGTATATTGAAGGATCTATGGTTACTGGGTAGGTGACCCATTTCTAAATGATATGGCCCAAAAAAGCATTGCTATTGTCCATGGCAAAGTGTTAGATTGCCAGAGGGTAGTGGTATAATGATAATGCAATGTTGATACTAGTATATTTTTCAAAAGGTAATCATTACAATAAAGTGGTTGGTTATGCCGTGGTTTTAGGGTTGGGGTCACCGTGCCGTTCAAAAGTTTAACAGTAAACCAACAGTGACATGTTTGTTTTTTTTAAGCACACCACATACAGTATATGTATTTATATGTATTTATATACGTATACGGTATACATTTATTTAGTTACTTTTGCATGCACATAAGCATGCATACGAACATCAATCACCGTCATACACACACACGTAAAATAAATTGTATATATATATATACACATCTGTGTGTTGCATGTATGTATGTATATATATATAATTATACATATATATATATTTATTTAATTATATTTATTTATTTATTTATGATGGCAGTTTTCACAGAGTGGAAATAGCAGTAGCAATTGTAGAGAGCAGCAACAGGAAACATAATAACGACACACATGACCATGCTGACAATGATGATGATGATGATGATGATGATGCTGTTGCCTTTGATGATGAAACATCATGAGATATATATATATATGTGTGTGTGTGCAAAGCCGTGGGGAAGTTTTAGCACTGCAATGAAACGATGTTGGTTTACAGTTCGTCTACAGTAGGTGGAGAAAGGCGTGTTTTTTGATTATATATTTTTTAAAAGCTGCGGTCCCGATGCCCCAAAAGGCGTGCCTAGCCGGAGTTATCAGTTAAGTTTATGTTTGTTACTGAGGCTCTGAGTCCATGTTTTCACTTGTTTTAAATGGCACGCTTACTCCCTGTCAATGGCTGTGATAAAAACTATGGCAATGCCTATGGTTAACCATGGCCATACCTATTATAGCCTGTTAGGCTATAGTTAATCATGGCAATACCCCAGGTTTTTGTGCATGTTTGGCGAAATTATAAAGTCGTCACCGTGACTTGTCGTAGACTATGCTTAGGGGGAATCATCCAACATGATGTTTGTACCACCCATCTCTGGACGCAGTCATTGGGCCATAAAGGAAAGTCTGCAATGATGATGATGATGATGATGGATTACGGTTACATTGTATTCGTATATGTAGATATATGCAGCCATGGACACTGGTGATTTGTAATAAATTCAACGATACATCGACATACATGTTAACGTCCCTGTATGGTTATAATACGTGTTCTTTTCTTTTGCAGGTTCGCATTTGGTGACCTCTAACTCACCCCATTTAGACTACCATACACAATATATGTATATATATAGCCCGAAAACCTTGCGTCTCTGCAAGTACTACTTCCGTTCTATTCAAATCAGCATGCGCTTTTGCCCAGATCACCTCATAATTGCGAATTGAAAAGACTAGGCACAATTTCTGGGGTCAGTGTTTTGATGTAACGCGTTTCAGAACGGCTCAAATCCACAATCTGCCCAAATTACTGCGACCCCAGCCGAGGTGACGAGGTTAGTTAGAGAGAATTAACGAGGTCAGTAACGAGGTTGCTTATTGAGAATTAAGGAGTATGGGCAGTTTTCGGACATGTAGATGGCACAGACCCATGGAATAAAACTTTTGGAGAGCTGGAAAGTTTATTTTGATGATTCAAGCAGGTGGTTGAGTTAAATTTGTATAGAACGAGGCGGCTGTGTAGTGGGAGCAAATAGAGTCCAAATCCACCAAAATAAACTTTTCAGGCTGCCAAAAGTTTGTTTCATGTCCATCCGGTGCCTCCAAGACAGCGCGCCAGGGTTTGTAGCAGACAAAACTTTTCAGTGCTGGAAAAGTTTTTTTGCCAGACACTCTCACTTCAGTACTGGGGCTCAAAGACTCGCACGCTCAAAGTTCCAGGGCCATGCCGCTGCGAGTTCTTCTCCAGTCGCGTCTTGGGTGGCCTTTCGAGGCCATGAAAGACCCTGATGCGAGTTCGGAGAAGTCTTGCAGGAGTTCGCTGCAAACAAAGGGTGGCACCCGTCTGTGTTCACCGTTTACGTTGGTGACAAGCTGGTGCAGCCAGAGACGATCTCCGAGTGCACTTCTGGTGCATATGTCTTCTCCAAAGGGGTACGAAATTAAACTGTACAGGCCCGGAAAAGTTTTTTCCCCGGGCTCACCAAATTAAACTTTTCAGGTCCCGAAAAGTATTTTTCCATGGCTGAGCTTGAAAAAGCTTTTCCGGGGTCCGAAAGTTTTTTTTTTCCAGACCCTTGTTCCCGATCCCCAGGAAACATTACAGCAATTCAGTGCCTGCGAAGCACATCGAACAAAGCCTTCTCGTGGCACACGGATCATCGCCGCTGGAAGCTGTTTCGGGTCCTCTCTTAGAAGCCAGCCTGGACACTTTTTTGACGAAGGACATTGAAGGGCCAATCTTTTGGTGGTGCGTCCTACCAGCGCTGTTCCCCACTGTTTCTAGGCCCACAAACTGAAGCTGTTTCAACGGGTTTTAGTCCCAGTCCCCTACAAAGAATTTTCCAACCTTCCTTGATTCCTTGGACAGGAGCGCAGAATGACGACAGCTGCTTTCATTAGAAAGGGGAAGGTGATCGCACAGAGGAGAAGAGCCAAGCGATCTGATGCTGGAGCCAAACGGCCTCATTACAAGCGAAGGAAGGAAAGGCCCGCAGGGCCATTGCGAGGCCTGAGCAAGGGCGATGCTGCGCTTGTGGACAATCAAGAACGTAGAGCTTTTTCCAATATATTGGATGAGATGTCCCCTCCCAAACGCCGTAAGGCGGATGGACACTGAACCACTCTCGGCAAGGCAACGTGAAAAAGCCTGTTGGAAAGAAGGGTTTGGAGACATTGGAACCTGTCCTTGTTCGTGCATCAGACATGTATCAATGTTTACTCACAGGCATTTTCAAATCCTATAGATATACATATAAGTATATATATATATATATACATACCTACAGCCTGAAATTCACGAGGCGAGGGGTTATTTTTGAAACCAGATTTAACGAGGCGAGGTGCTATTTTCTAAACGACATGTAACGAGGCGAGGTGCTAAATGCACGTAACGATGATCAGACACGAGGTAGACGAGGTAAGAAATAAAGTAATTTGCACAGCACAATTGCAGGTTTAGGTGGCTGCGGCAAGGATCATGTTTTATTGTACCCCAAAAAATGCGCAGGCACTTCTGAGGAACCCATGGTCCAATAGTTGGTGTCTCTTGTTCGGTCAAGTAATTAGTTGGTTCATCATGTTTCACTATCCTTGAACATCACCTGTATCACTCCTGCACCCTTTTTTTCATGGTAAGGTTTGAAACCATCAACCCCAAAAGGGCACCCACAGCGTCCAACAAGGTGGTATCCCCAAGTTTTAAGATGTTACAAATTACAAGTTGGCTTATAAACTTCATTAACTGCATTACAATCACCACAAACCTGAGTCAACCTATTTTTTTGGCAGATGCACCATACTAGTTAACTGTAGGGCACCACCATGTTATACCCAACGGCCCTACATCACACTCCCCAGGCTGCGCGATGTCAAATACATTCAAGCCTCGTCGCGTGCATTCGCTGCTATCAAGGCTGATGGGTCGGCTCCTTGGCCATATGATCACAGTCATTTTCGCGGTGAATGAGCATAATAATCCAGCCAGAGAACAAATTTGTTGATGTACAATGATGTACGTGTTTTACACTTGGCATTTCCATCAATGTCTACCGATTGGCCGCGATTAGCCTTTGTTTTTCACAACTGGCATGACATACATTTTTTCAGATTTAGAATGTGCTTTTGATTTGTTTTTGTGTTTATGGCGTCCATTAGGGTAGCGAAGTTGAGGCGCGCAGCTGATCTGACAATCAGAGTCATTTGCTAGTCATGCGTAGCCGTTGGTTCCATTTTTGTTCTGGTCAGTTTTGTGAAAAATCCACGTTTGCCACCTTATTAATGGATTGGTCTTGCGCGGACTCCAAAAGATATGGACCATGACGAATGATACGAATGAACCTTGAACATTATCATTTGTCCAGGACAACATTTTGCGAGAAGGAAAGTCCATGAAAGTGAGCTACAAAAAAGTGTTTTTCCCCTTGTTGGTATGCCTCTCAGGTGGTGACCTGGGGTGACGAGATGTATGGTGGCAACTGTCGTGCTTTGAAGGATCAGTTGAAAGATGTGCAGGGCATTCAAGTCTCCAGGCTTGGCACTGATCACTTCGAATCAAAAGTCCGTTGTTTTTTTTTCGGATTCCAAGGCCTGCTGCATTTGATCAACTAATGGTGATATAATATATATGGTTAATATAATGGCGATAATATTAATGATATCCATAATGCTTGATAATGGTTGGTGGTTTGGAACATTGTGCAATATTTTCGCCAATATATAGTTGGGATGATGATCCAATCTGACGAGCATATTTTCCAAAGGGGTTGACACCACCAACCAGATGGTCCCGTTGAACCTCAATGAATTTCATACAGCGCAGAACCTCCAGCTATGGACAGATCATTCGCTCCAAGTTTGGCAGTTGGATCGCTGCAGGATGTTGTTACGCAGTCTCAGATCTCTCTGTACCTGTGTGAATCATAAGCATGTGATGCATCCTGATACCACATTCCATATGCCATTTTCATTTACTGGACATATTATGAATATGTGTTGTTTGTTTTTTAAACAGGAATCCTGTTTCATCCTTGTCCGTGTGAGCTTCTGCGCTGTTTTGTATTACGTACTACAATAATTCCTTTATAATCTTTGTACAATACCGAGAGAGATGCGCCGAGTTGCCTTTGTGGGCATGCAGGGCGCAGGACATGAAATTGAAAGTGGTTCAGCGGTTCATATCTCCATGTTTGGTGCTTGCCTAGGCTTAGGTCCTAACCCTGCTACTGTTTCATCCAATTTTGGGGGTTTCCATGGGCAATGGTTTAATAATGGAAACTCCTATTGATATGGATGATTTTAGGGGTGCCCCATTTTAGGAAACATCCGTAGTATAGTATGTATATATATATATACATAAATATATAAATGAAGTATTTCTATATATCTTCTTAGCCGTAGTGTTTCTATGACTTTTATATCCCTGGATGTTGATTGCCTTGCTGTATTATGCTATGTGTGCATTTTATTGCTTACATATTGATGCTTTGTGCGCCCCTACATGTTTTAAACCATTTATCTTTGTTTCTCACTACCATAGTTACTTCCACTGTTACTGAAAGTCCCAAAAAAGGAAAAGAGATGCAGTATTAAAGTAAATCATCATATTAAAGTAATGGTCATGCCACCATTCATCAATATTCATCATACTATCTGGTTGGTGGTTTGGAACATGATTTTTCCATATATTGGGAATGTCATAATCCCAACTGACGAACTCATATAGGTTAATAATGGTTAATGATGGTTATATAACTGATGCTTTACAGAGGTGAAAGCCCTATGATTAACAAACCATCAGTTATATAACCATTAGGGTTAATAATGGTGAAAACCATTATCGTGAAAACCCTATGTTATCGTGAAAACCATTAGCCCTATAATAACGGTTAACCATCATGAACCATTATTAACCATCATTATCCATCATTAACCATCATTAACCATTATTAAGATGGTAGGAAGCCCTATGGTTAACAATGGTTAACAATGGTTAACAATGGTTAACAATGGTTAACAATGGTTAACAATGGTTAACAGTGGTTAACAGTGGTTAACAATGGTTAACAATGGTTAATGGTTTTGCTGATGGTTTTGCTGATGGTCATCACGATGTTCGGAAGCCCAGGCACCACCAAACCCATGGCCAGGTGGTCCTTCGGCGCGGCCTTCGCAGCCCTGCGACGGGATGGCAAAGTGGTCAGCTGGGGCTTGCCACACGCCGGGGGTGACAGCAGTGCCGCGTTGCCAGTGGCGGTTGGGCGTGTCGGGTCATGGCAAGGTGCAGCAAAGTGTTCGGATTCTGGTAGATATATCACGATATATCATGGAAATATCATGGAGATAGAAAGGATATATCATATCATGGAAATACCATGGAGATATCATGGAAATATCATGGGGATACAGTGGAGATATGATGGAGATATCATTGTTTTTGAATGTTGATGGATGTTTATGGTTGATTCTTGTCCCTTCTTAGTTAAGTTGGTTGAGAACAGTAGGTGAGCTGGTGAGTAAAGGTGTCGAGGAAATGAAGATTGATCAGATGAAATAACAATATCAAGTGGATAATAGTGATCCCAACTGACTCTTGTTTTTCAGAGGGGTAGGCATACCACCAACCAGCAAGAGTCGTTTTGGTTTGTAATTCAAGTGGATATCATTCACAGAAGGTTGGGCCCCATCATTCGCTAAGCTGGTTTGAAAAGGTGGCTAACTAGGATTTATGGTAGATAATATGTAGATACTGTATATCAAATTGTTTCTATATAGTGGGTGTATAAGCCAACTTGTGACTTATGACTGGGGTTTTACCCACCTTTTAGGTGAGGCTATGATTGGTTCGGGGGTTCAAGGTGCTGCCCCGCTTCGGAATCCCTAGGTTCCTAGGTTGGTTTAAGTGTTTCGTTGCTTGTAAAAAAACAATGTCAGTGGGGTTTATAAGCCAGTGCAAGTAAGGGCCACCACCTCGTAAGCATGATAATGATTCGATGATGATGATGATGATGGTGATGATGATGGAAGTTGCAGTTTGCTATGGAAATCCAAAAAAACTGTTGGCACATTTTTTAGAATGGCAAGGGATTTTGATAGTTGGTTTTCGTCATCTTTAGGTGGAAAACAATTGTAATATATACAAATTTCACGGATGTACTGTAATTTTCATAAGTGTTTCGATGACTCTAACACGATTCAGAAACTATTTGTTGATGCTCGTAGATCTTGAGCTACCATATGTATGTAATGTATGTATGTATATACTGTATATATATATAATATTCATACATATGTGTAAACATAGGTCTGTTTGAATATACATATATATATATATGCGTAAACACAGTTCTAGTTGAATATTTTCGTATATACTAACAGTACACATATATATGGTTTAAAAGAAACATATAATGTGTAGTTCACATTAACTTTCACATATTTCTAAAGATACACTTACACACACACATATATATATATATATCACATATTTATATTTTTATACAGTATACACATATGTTGGTCAATATCATAATATCATGTCTTTGTTTGTGGTTATCCGTGTGGACCCATCATCACATCGCGCTACGTTTGAGGTGGCCTCAAGGCCCAGTTGACGAACGTCAAGGAGATTCAAGCGACCAAGTTCGGAGGTGTCATGCCTCACTGCCTCTGGCTACCCTTGGTAAACTAATAGAAAAAACTATGGAAAATCACACTTGTTCATAGGAAAATCACCATTTTAAATTGAAAAAAAAACTAACATAGCTATGGAAATTCGCCATGTTTACGTTCGGGAAATCAACTATGAATGGTCATTTTTGACAGCTATGTATTGGTTTACCAGAGGATATGTAACGGTCTGCGAACTGGAAAACCACGAAACTATTCATAGGGTAAATGTTCATTTTTGTCATCTATGTTCTATAGGCCATGGCCTCCATAGCTATGTTAATAAACCAGACAGTATTTGAAAAGATGGGGTAAATCTAGTTAAATTCATCAAGCACATTTGGGCACAAACTAATGAATTTGGGTTGCGAACTTGCGAACTCAACTTTGATGGGTACTAATTAGGACCAAGAGGATGGAGTACTAAGGAGACGGGAACATGGAACGCAGTCAGCTCGCTGGTGGTTCTACACAGGGCCCCCTTCTTCGACCTGCAAATTCCAGGGACATTGCTGGTTGGGGTAAATAGTCCCGTGGAAGAAAATGTGGTTGCGAGCTTCAATGTTGATGTGTGTATATATATATATATACTGTAAAAAAAAAAATATATATATATACTGAAAACAGACAGACAGACTGACAGACAGACAGACAGACATGCTTCGGCAAATCTACCACTAGATTTGATGTTGCCTGTTTAACTTTCTCCATCTCTGGGGCTCTATTCAAAGGGGTGCTAATCAGAGTCTTTTTGCTAAATTATCTTAATTTATCTTGTTTTATGATATTTTAAAATCGATGGAATTGGGGCCAATTTTTCCCATGAAAAAATATTTTTTCCCATGAAAAAATATCTTTTCCTATGAAAAAATATTTTTTCTATGAAAAAATATTTTTTCTGCGTTGTGAGGTGTGGGACAAGGTCGTTGCGCAGAAGGGTGCCCTGCCCCCTTCTAAAAGTAGTATTGGAAGCAAAAAATCGGCCAAAAACAAAATATGATTTTTTTTTTTTTTTTATAGTCAGTTTTTTTTATTTTTTTTTATTTTTTTAATTTTAAGTTAAAATATGACCAATATTTTCCATTTTGTGCTACCTCAATGCATTTTGTTGCTTGTTCGTAGCCAAATTGCCTCTGACCTTTGCAAAGCTGAATAGCATCCCTTTGAATAGGGCCAGGGGTCCTTTGAATGTTTATCACATTTTCTTCTCTCCCTCTCTGTTGGGCACTCGGACGTGCAAGCCAGTTGCAGTGCGGTTGAAGACCATGGTGATTATTCTCACATATACAGATACATATGATCATATACTAGTATATATGGGACACCTGGGACACCCTTAGTTCTTTTCGCTCTCTGAATCACATGAATCACTTTCTATACTTGGCTATTTTTGATTTTGGTTAGTTTCGAATAGTTTATACATATCCTAAGTTTCACTAGTCTATCCCCATTTCTGACGGTTACCTTCTGGCAATCAAACATGGCATTGACAAAATCCTCCATTCATAGAGGATTTTGCCCATGGATGTAGGATTGTTCAATTAACATGTTCGTTAATATCCATTTTTACCATCAATCCCACTGTTTGATTCCACTGCTCCCCGCCTGGCGCGTCAGCAAGGCTCATTCGCGGCACTGCGCTTGGATGGTTCAGTGGTTACCTGGGGTATTCCCCGCTCGGGCGGGGATAGCGCAGACGTTCAGGATCAGTGCACTGGACTGCAGAGTGTTTTTTTTGCTAGAGGAGCTTTACAAAATTAGTTTGGGATATTTTTTGGGGATCAGATGTGCTGAATGGTTCATCCGATTCCAGAAAAGGTCGGCCGTTTGGGATTAAATTTATACAAATAAAGCACAGCCCATTCTACCACAACTTCTAGATTCTAAAATTTTGGAGGTATCAAAGAACACAAAAACCGTTCATGATTACTGTAGTGTCCCTTCAAATTGTTTTTGACAAACTCAGGCGTTTCATCAAAAAGTTCAGCATTGTTTTTTTCTGGAAACTACCCATCCTTGCGGCGCAACAATGGCCACAAATCTTAGCAACCCTAAAAGAGATATAAAAGTTGGAAAACTTGAAACTATGGAGAGAACACATACTCGAACTACCATCCTGGAAATACGTTTTTATCTTTTTGGGATTACTATAGGGGGAAATCTACAGGAAACCATGGACAACTACCTGTTTTTTACCCTCAATTTTTGGGGGGGTTCGGGGTTTTGGGCGCGACGTTCCCTCCAATTCTGGGAGAAACAAAATGACAAAGCCATAGTTCAGTTTGCTAAGTAGTGCTATGACATTGAAATTTGAAGTTTGGCAAGAAACCATGGATATTGCTTTGCACTATTGCATGTTCACAGTATGTTAGTTTTCTGTATTTTTTTGGGGGGGTGGTCTTTTTCCTTTAACATCCAACCGACCGATAAATTGAAATCCCAGGCCCAGGACCTGAAAACATCTGAACATCCAGCCACTCGCGGACTACAGTAATGGGCCGGGATTGTTCCCCAATCATCTATATAAGTCATTAAACTAGTTTAGTACTGAAACAACCTATATAGGATTATAGGTGACTTGGGGATCCCCATGACTGAAGGAAAAAGTAGAAAAGTCACCCCATGTTTATAATTATATAATATATCATGATATGTTTTCAAAAGGAGAAATATGTATATATATAATGGAAATATAACTAAATCAAACACAAATATAAGAAATATGGATATCCGAGGAATATTTGATCATTTTTTGTACGATTTCTGGCTGGTATCCTTGGACATCAAAGACTTTTTTATTTTTACAGCATAAATTGCTGAAAATCAAGGGTCTTGTGGCTGGAAACTTCCCAAACCTGGTGAGATTCCATATTTTGTGGCTAAAAAAGCACTGAGAACTGATGAATTTTGATCGTCTTCTGGCTGGAATTAATCCTTTTCTTTTTCGGGGAGCATGGAGCATGAAACTATGATATATATATATATATATATTATATTTGCATATTTATCTATGCACAGATGTATCACATCCACTTCCAGAAGGAGAGTTCCGATTTACTTCAAAACGTTAAAGCTTGACTAAGATAGAATATTTTTTGGTGCTCCATGTTGTTGCACGCTTGTTACTGTCAATCCCTATTGCAATGTACATTAGCATGGTTTTACTGGGATTTTTCTGGTTTTACTGGAGTTTACCATAGTTTTACCATGGTTTTGCTGGGGTTTACCATGGTTTTACTGAGGTGGGTTTCCCACCAATTCTATATTTATCTATCTATCTATCTATCTATCTATGTAATCTAATCTAAATCTAATCTAATCCAAAGCTAATCCAAATCTAATCTAAATCTAATCTATATCTAATCTTAATCTAATCTAATCTAATCTAAATCTAATCTAAATCTAATTCAAATCGAATCCAAATCTATTCTAAATCTAATCTAATCTAAATCTAATTTAAACCTAATCCAAATCTAATCCAAATGTTTTCTAATCTAATTCTAATCTAAATTTAATCTCAGTCTAAACTAATCTAGTCTAAATCTAAATCTAATCTAATCTAAATCTTATCTCAATCTAATCTAATCCTAATCCTAATCTGAATCTTAATCTGAATCTTATCTAAATCTCAATCTCAATCTAAATCCAAATCTAAATCCAAATCTAAATCTAATCTAAATCTTAATCTTAATCCCAATCCTAATCTAATCTAACCTAGTCCTATCCTATCCTATCGTATCCTATCTTATCTTATCTTACCGATCTAGTTCAGTAGTTCTTTGTAACAATCTTATCCCGATCTTAGTCTCATTTATCCTATCTGATCTAGCGTGCCCGATCCTAGGGTTCCTATGAGTGGCTATTCTCTGGGCCATATGGTCTATTCTGATCCTATCCGGGTAGTCCTATTAGTTCCTATCTTATCCTATCTTATCCTATCTTATCCTATCTTATCCTATCCTATCCTATCTTATCCTATCTTATCCTATCCTTTCCTATCTTATCCTATCTTATCCTATCTTATCCTATCTTATCCTATCTATCTTTCTATTATCCTATCTTTCTATCTATCTATTTATCTATCTATCTATCTATCTATCTATCTATCTATCTATCTATCTATCTATCTATCTATCTATCTATCTATCTATCTATCTATCTATTATCTATCTATCTATCTATCTATCTATCTATCTATCTATCTATCTATCTATCTATCTATCTATCTATCTATCTATCTATCTATCTATCTATCTATCTATCTATCTATCTATCTATCTATCTATCTATCTATCTATCTATCTATTATTGTTTTCGTAAGTGAGTGGCTGAATACTCTATCTTTTAATTATTTTAAATTTCTGAACTTCTATCTTGTGGGTGCCAGAGTGCCATACCCTGTGTTTTTGGGTTTGTTGAGATATTCTATCTTGTCCCCACTAAGAATACAATATTCTATCTTATTGGCGGTCTATACATCATCTCAGGCTCCACGACATCACGGAGATCCAATCCACCGAGAACGCCTTCGCCGCACGTCGCGGCACGGACGGAGCAGTCATCGCCTGGGGTGGTGAGCGCGACGGGGGAGTGCTGCCAACGGACCTGGGGCTGAGAGACGCGGCGGAAAGGCCGCTGTCATTTTTGGGGCGTTACCCAACTTGGCAAACTAACATAGCTAGTAGGTAGATCAACTATAAATGTCACAGGTTGAATGGGTAAATCAACTACAAATAGGTAAATCAACTGTAACTATCTGTAACTATATGATGGAAAATCACGATCTCTAAGTTTGGTAAATCAACTATTTCTATGGGCCATTTTCAATAGCTATGTTAAACTAACAGCGGGTAGCATCATTGAGGTGCTTTATGTTATGGTAGTAAAACAAAAATCTGCCGCCCATATTTTGTTGATGGGTGGGAGACCACCCATCAAAAATGGTATATTTATGTATATTTGGGGATGGTTGACTATGGTTTTACGAACATGTGTGGTATATTACCTTCATAGGTGGGTGATTTTTGGGATAAATGTTAGATAAATATTCCTTACCATATTGGCTGCAGTACCACCCAAAATGATGGAATAGTAAAATCCTACTATATATAGATATAAACAGTAGCGAAAAAATAATGTTCTGTCTTTTTTAGGTTGGTCACTGTAATGTTGATGCAGGATTTTCCGAAACCCCTACCGTATTGTTTAGCAACAGCTCGCAAGCTGCCTCTCAAGAGATGACTGAAATGAACTGCTTGACCCAGTGAGAGCCAGCTGCTGGATCTCCACCCAACACCCGCCAGATAAGTTTAAGTTTACAGCTGAAACATGGAATGATTAGCCACTAGATCAGGCGGCAGTGATAGGAGACAAACATTTTTCTGAACAAAACCAAGAAAGATACATGCAGTTACATTGCATGACGTTTTGTTACGTTACATTACATTACAAAACAAATACATCACATAAACATCGCATATACATCACATATACAGCACATATACATTAGATTTGCATCACGCATACATCACACATACATCACATATACAGCACATATACATTACAAATGCATCACGCATACATCACACATACCTAACATTTACTTTAAATATACTCCACCTCGTCACGTATACTTTACATTTACCTTAGTTTCCAATTTCCATTCCATTCCATTACATCACATGACACACGTTGCATCACATTTCACCCAAACTTCAGTGCTTCCCAACGGCATTTGAAAAAAGTAAGGGTCACTAACAGGGGAGTCCCGATTTTGACAGCCGCTTTGCTCTTACCATATTGATCCATATTGTACTATTTTGAGGTTTAGGTACCCTACCAATCCGCGGAATTCACTAGGCAAGGGTTGACATGAATGGCAACAAGTCAGCTTCTGAAGGACTAGTAAATATTTATTCCGAGTTTTCTTTGACTAAGAATTCCGAAAGATAGATAGATGTTTGTTTGTATGTAGAAAAAGGTTGAAATCGAGCACTATAAACTGCTAGGATTCGCAACTATTCTGGGGTTTCTATAAGCATTATAAGCTGGGTGAACGTCGGTGGTGGGAGTTTCAAAGTCGGGTGATACAAGTGGCTAATAAGTTTCAATTTGTAGTTTGAATGACTAACAAGGAAATCTTGTCCATTGTGACAACCCTCAACCGAGGCAGGAAGGCATGATGGTGCCTTCACAACAGGCAATTGCCTGGGGTTTGGAGTAGGTCCTTCAAACAAAGTCTTTTGTAGGTTGATTTGATTTGATTTGATTTAACTTGTTGGTTGGATTTGATGACTATCCAACTACCCACACTATGGTTGATTCTATAGATAGTTGGATAGATAGGTCAGAGCCATATCTACTGGATCAGTTGCTCTGCAGAGCCGAGTTCCCCGTGCATTCCTTTATGACCTGAGGAGATGTGGTGCGCAACCTTGGCTTGCAGTCTGTGTTACGTTTGGCCCATGTATGAAACATAGCTAGGTAGGAAAATTAGGCGCCAACGGAGAGGTATCCTTTGGTAATCAAACATGGAATTAACAATATTCATAGAAATGATGTATATACCAACAACAGTTCATGATAATCATGGAAAATCTGATTAAAAACGCACACAAAATAATAAATTAAACTAAAGTCCCATTGAAAACCGCCATTTTGCTGGTGGATTTTACAGTTTGCTACGTTTGATGACACTGGAGGAGCCCTCTGGTGAACTTGGGTAAGTTGCTTCAGTGTCACCTACATAACTAAAACCATACCCACATATTAACCACCAGAAACCCACAGTTAAGCTAACTATAACATGTTCTAAACAGACTTAGTTAACGATGTGTAGATCATGATTTTGTTACGCAACCATATATTAACATATTAATAAAACCAACTTTTCAGGTTTATTTAGTTACAACTAAAATAATAGTATTATATCGTGATGATTACCATTCGTAAACCCAATCTAAATTTCTTTGGCTGTACACCTACTTCGCCAACAAACTCGTACACCACCTGCTGTAGATTTATCCCTCCCAGCGCGACGCCATGAACAATTGAGGTTGAAGTAAGGTGGTAATCACAGCCACAGACACGTAATCACAAGAGGTTACAGGTCAAAATTTAAGTCCCACGGGACCATCAAATTTTAGTCTATGTGTAGCATTCAATCTAATTATATATTGGGATGCTCAATGACTTGACTCTGACTCATACCCATAAACCAAGCCATGAACCAACTTACCTGACTATGGGGCCCCAGTTGTGGATCAGCTTCCTTGGGAAATTCATGGACAAAACCCCCAGATCCATGACATATGTTCTAAAGCCAACCTGCAGACTCTATTTCTGAACGCTAAAGTTTCACAAAGATACAGCGATAGTCACCATATATAGACCCCACCCTAAAATTGTTTACCCTAGAGACAACTCCCGGACTGCAATGTGGTTTTCGCCACTTATTCATGTCAAAAAAAGTTGATCATAAATCCTTTCTATCAACTTAACTAACTATAGACCATAACTATATTATTACTAATAGGGTTTTCAGCCATAGTAATGAAGTTAACTAATAATTATTCATTATTAACCAACCATAGACCATAGCAACTATAATACATGATTATTTTGACTTAACTAAGGATTTTTTTATCTATAATTTATTAGCTTAAAACCATAGTTAACTCATCGAAGGAAGTTTAGAAGTCAAACTTCCGACAATATGGACAGATGAAAAGCAGAGCTGGGCAGAGGCAGAGAGAAGAGGAGAGTAGAAGAGAGAAGATCAGAGAAGAGAAAGAGTCAGAAGAAAGAAGTTGCAGATGCGCGAAAAGGTAGGAAAGTCGCGAAACACTGTGTTTTTCCAATGATTTTAGGCTCCAGAGGGTCGAAA